ATAGTTCTATACATTACGTTATATAGAAAGTTCGATATCTAACGTAATACACAAAGTTTTATATATTACATGACATAGATAGTTCTGTATTACGTGATATAAAGAGTTCTATATATTACGTGATGAAGAGAGTTCCAAATCTTTCATTATAAAAGAAATTCGAGATATTACGTGATATAGGGAGTTCTGTAAAGTAAGTGATATAGGGAGTTCTATTTTTATACGTGATAAAGGAAGTTCTGTATATCGCGTGAAATTGGGAGCTCTATATACTACACAGTATTTGGAGTTCTGTGCATAACGTGATGCAGATAGTTCTGTATATTACGTGATATAGAGAGTTATTTACTAAACAATGTAGGAAATTCTATATATTACGTGATATAGGAAGTTCTAAATCTTACGTGATATAGGGAGTTCTATATATTACGTGATATAGGAAGTTCTAAATCTTACGCGATATAGGGAGTTCTATATATTACGTGATATAGGAAGTTCTAAATCTTACGCGATATAGGGAGTTCTATATATTACGTGATATAGGAAGTTCTAAATCTTACGCGATATAGGGAGTTCTATATATTACGTGATATAGGAAGTTCTAAATCTTACGCGATATAGGGAGTTCTATATATTACGTGATATAGGAAGTTCTAAATCTTACGCTATATAGGGAGTTCTATATATTACGTGATATAGGAAGTTCTAAATCTTATGTGATATAGGGAGTTCTATATATTACGTGATATAGGAAGTTCTAAATCTTACGCGATATAGGGAGTTCTATATATTATGTGATATAGGAAGTTCTAAATCTTACGCGATATAGGGAGTTCTATATATTACGTGATATAGGAAGTTCTAAATCTTACGCGATATAGGGAGTTCTATAAATTACGCGATGTAGAGAGTTCTGTAGTACGTGATATAGAGAATGTTGTATATAAGAAACCTGTGGTGCTTCTGTTGCTACTAAATTGCGCTGTCAAATTAGGCCTTTGGACATTTGCAGTCTATAACGCGATAAAGAACCAGTTACTGATCAAAGAATGCATATTTCACGATCAGCACCGGTATAAATACAATCCTAACTTGCTCAGTTTGTGGCGACAGCACTAGCCATGCGTCTCTAAATCCTCAAACTCAAAGACCCCTGCGTGAATTTTTATCATGGTATAGGGCGTCGCAGGTACCAGGATGTAAGTCAAGGGGAAGTAAAGACGGCTTGTGTAATGTTGACTACATTACCCACATAGTGCTGAGGGGTTTATAAAAACATGGGATCTCTTTCCATGTGCCACAAGCGCCTTAAGGCGTTAAAAGGGATCTTTACTTTTACTTTACTTGTGAAGACCCCGCTGCCCCCACTGCAGAAGTGATAAATACAATCAGGAACGACAGTGTATTCATTCTCTGGTCATTAAAATAGCCACACAGTTTGCCTAGAGTTTGATATGTTGTTGTTGTTGTTTGCGTTCACCGGGTATAAACTCCAGTGGAAAGACCTGGTTGTTCGTCCATTTCTGTTTCTTTGCTTGTTCCAATCACAAAGGGAAATAGCCTGGTGTGTTTTTCGTTAAAAGAGGTGAGATTTGAATATTCGGAGCCTGGTGCACGCCGTGACACGACAAATGAGGGTACGAGTGTATGACAGCAATCATTCAGTGCTCAAAGTGTTGCTATCTGTTTCTGACCACAGAAATAGAGCGGCGGATTTTGGCGAACCAAAAATATAACACAACACATGAAGACGCGAGAGAACTATCTTTGTTGGACTGATCCCCGAATGTCAGCTTTGGCATTACTTATTGGCTGCCTGCACCTGACGAGGATTAATCCACGTTGGTGCAGATCTCGACAGCTCGCGTGTTCACACAGCAGCCACTGCTGCAGCCAACGAGCGGTGCATCAGACGAGGTGACCAAACACAGATGACCAACTAAAAACGGCGCGGCTCCCTGCTGACCCTAGACTGTTGGAGTATCCCAGGGAGGGTTTCTGACAAAACTTGTTTCTTTATTTAACCCAAATATACCGGGACTGTCGGCTCTGTGGCTAAGTCGATGCGAACACTTCGCTTCGTAATGCCGGGATGCCAGGTTCGATCCCAGCTGCGGGCAATGTGCCTTGCGTTGGTTTCGACAGTGGTATCAAGAAAGCCGACCGTCCAGATAGCAATGGCAAACTACTGGACGTAAATTTGCCTAGAGAAACCACACAACAGCCAGGGGCTGTTAGGGTTGGTTCTGCAACGTCCTCTAGAGGATACGCAACAACCTTAACCTTATACCGGGACTGACGATGCTTTAGGAATCGCAGAATGGTAGTTTAAGAATGTTGTTGATGTTGTTTTGTTGTTGTTGTTGTTGTTGCTGCTGCTGACTAATACAATGGTACCTCGGGTCACAAACTTAAATCGTTCTTTGATTCCGTTTCCGAACCGAAACATTCGCGACCCAAAACAAGTTTTCCCCATTGAAATGAATGGTAACCCAAAAAATCTGTTCACCCACCCCCATAATCATATGTTTACTTTTAAAACTTTTAATGAATTTATGTGTGTCAAAAATATATTATATACGACGTAAAACATAACTTGACCTTTGTGGTTGATAGCTGATAAATCGCTGCTGGTTGATAGCTGATAAGTCACTGCAGGTTCATAGCTGATAAATCGCTGCATTTTGATAGCTGATAAATCGCTGCAGGTTCATAGCTGATAAATCGTTGCAGTTTGATAGATGATAAATCGCTGCATGTTCATAGCTGATAAATCGTTGCTGCTTGTTAGCTGATGAATCGCTGCTGGTTGATAGCTGATGAATCGCTGCTGGTTGATAGCTGATAAATCGCTGCAGGTTGATAGCTGATAAATCGCTGCTGGCTAATAGTTGATGAATCGCTGCTGGTTGATAGCTGATAAATCGCTGCAGTTTTATAGCTGATAAATCGCTGCTGGTTGATAGCTGATGAATCGCTGCTGGTTGATAGCTGATAAATCGCTGCTGGTTGATAGCTGATGAATCGCTGCAGGTTGATAGCCGATGAATCGCTGCTGGTTGATAGCTGATAAATCGCTGCAGGCTGATAGCTGATAAATCACTGCTGGTTGATAGCTGATAAATCGCCGTGCACACTACAGTCTTTTCGTAAACGGAGAGGCTTGCTGACATAATCTTCAGCAATCTGCTTGTCATTACTCCAAACAAATAATAATTGTTAAACTTGTTCTTGCACCTGAGACCGTTGCTTCGGCGAGATCGGAAACACTAACCCCATTTTCATGTTTAGTTATTATTTTCTTTTTCGTTTACACTGTAACACTCACTAACACTTTTCACTTTCTTGATAGGCATAATGAAGATTAATGCAAACAAGGGAAAAAAAAAAAACATTATATCCAAAATAATGTACACAGCACGCAAACCTGAGTACAACTGACACTGTTCGCGAGCCAAAGCCAAGTTTGTGCACCGATGCATTGAGGCATTGTTTGCGGGTCGAGTCAAAATTCGTTCGAAAATGGTGTCAGTGGAGCGAATTATTTCTGACTAAAAGCGTAGTAAACCTCTATAACAAATTGGAAAAACAAACTAAAGTCATAGGTTCGCCGGGCAAGGGGAAGCGTGATCCGAGGCAGTCAGTGGCAGTTGTGGTGAGCATGATAACGTCCTCATTTACTCCCCAGGAAATTTCCCTAACGCCCATCTAAGCCGAGGTCCGCTGGAAGGATAAGATTTGGAAAAAAAAAAAAAATCCGACTAGTTGAGGATTTGAACCGTGGTACACCACTTGTTGCTACGCAACAGCCACTTTAATTGCAAACATATTGTAGGATCTACTTGGTTAGGTAGCCAGCGTAGGACTGTAGACAATGTGAGGGGTTAAACTGTAGACGGTGTAAGTGGTTAAACTGTAGACGGTGTAAGTGGTCAAACTGTAGACGGTGTAAGTGGTTAAACTGTAGACAGTGTCAGTGGTTAAACTGTAGACGATGTTAGTGGTTAAATTGTAGACGGTGTCAGTGGTTAAACTGTAGACGATGTTAGTGGTTAAACTGTAGACAGTGTCAGTGGTTAAACTGTAGATTTGTGTCTGTGGTTAAACTGTAGACATTGTCAGTGGTTAAACTGTAGACATTGTCAGTGGTTAAACTGTAGACGGTGTCAGTGGTTAAAATGTAGACGGTTGAGTGGTTAAACTGTAGACAGTGTCAGTGTCTAAACTGTAGACTGTGTCAGTGGGTAAACTGTAGACAGTGTCAGTGGTTAAACTGTAGACAGTGCGAGTGGTTAACACTGTAGACGGTGTCAGTGGTTAAACTGTAAACAGTGTCAGTGGTTAAACTGAAAACAGTGCGAGTGGTTAAACTGTAGACAGTGTCAGTGCGTAAACTGTAGACATTGTCAGTGGTTAAACTGTAGACAGTGTCAGTGGTTAAACTGTAGACTGTGTCAGTGGTTAAAATGTAGACAGTGTCAGAGGTTAAATTGTAGACAGTGTCAGTGGTTAAACTGTAGATTTGTGTCTGTGGTTAAACTGTAGACATTGTCAGTGGTTAAACTGTAGACACTGTCAGTGGTTAAACTGTAGACGGTGTCAGTGGTTAAACTGTAGACAGTGCGAGTGGTTAACACTGTAGACGGTGTCAGTGGTTAAACTGTAAACAGTGTCAGTGGTTAAACTGTAGACAGTGCGAGTTTTTAAACTGTAGACAGTGTCAGTGCGTAAACTGTAGACATTGTCAGTGGTTAAACTGTAGACAGTGTCAGTGGTTAAACTGTAGACGGTGTCAGTGGTTAAAATGTAGACAGTGTCAGAGGTTAAATTGTAGACAGTGTCAGTAGTTAAACTGTAGACGTTGTTAGTGGTTAAACTGTAGCAGTGTTAGTGGTTAAACTGTAGACAGTGTCAGTGGTTAAATTTTAGACAGTGTCAGTGGTTACATTGTAGACAGTGCCAGTGGTTACATTGTAGACAGTGTCAGTCAGTGCTTAAACCTAGACAGTGTCAGTGGTTGAATTGTAGTCACTTTCAGTCGTTAAACTGTAGACGGTGTCAGTGGTTAATCTGTAGACGGTGTCTGTGGTTAAAATGTAGACGGTGTCAATGGCTAAACTGTAGACGGTGTCAGTCGTTAAACTGTTGACAATGTGTGTGGTTAAACTGTAAACGGTGTCTGTTGCTAAACTGTAGACGGTGTCTGTGGTTAAACTGAAGACGGTGTCGTCAGTGGTTAAACTGTAGACAGTGTATGTGGTTAACCTGAAGACGGTGTCAGTTGTTAAACTGTAGACGGTGTCAGTGGTTAAACTGTAGACGGTGTCAGTGGTTAAACTGTAGACGTTGTCTGTCGTTAAACTGAAGACGGTGTCAGCGGTGAAACTGTAGACAGTGTCTGTGGTTAAATTGTAGACAATGTCAGTTGTTAAACTTTAGACAGCGTGAGTGCTTAAACTGTAGACAGTGTGAGTGCTTAAATTGTAGACGGTGTCAGTGGTTAAACTGTAGGCGATGTCAGTGGTTAAACTGTAGACTGTGTCAGTGGTTAAACTGTAGACAGTGTCTGTGGTTAAACTGTGGACGGTATAAGTAGTTAAATTGTAGACGGTGTCAGTGGTTAAACTGTAGACGATGTTAGTGGTTAAACTGTAGACAGTGTCAGTGGTTAAACTGTAGATTTGTGTCTGTGGTTAAACTGTAGACATTGTCAGTGGTTAAACTGTAGACATTGTCAGTGGTTAAACTGTAGACGGTGTCAGTGGTTAAAATGTAGACGGTTGAGTGGTTAAACTGTAGACAGTGTCAGTGGGTAAACTGTAGACAGTGTCAGTGGTTAAACTGTAGACAGTGCGAGTGGTTAACACTGTAGACGGTGTCAGTGGTTAAACTGTAAACAGTGTCAGTGGTTAAACTGTAGACAGTGCGAGTGGTTAAACTGTAGACAGTGTCAGTGCGTAAACTGTAGACATTGTCAGTGGTTAAACTGTAGACAGTGTCAGTGGTTAAACTGTAGACGGTGTCAGTGGTTAAAATGTAGACAGTGTCAGAGGTTAAATTGTAGACAGTGTCAGTGGTTAAACTGTAGACGTTGTTAGTGGTTAAACTGTGGCAGTGTCAGTGGTTAAACTGTAGACAGTGTCAGTGGTTAAATTTTAGACAGTGTCAGTGGTTACATTGTAGACAGTGCCAGTGGTTAAACTGTAGACGTTGTTAGTGGTTAAACTGTGGCAGTGTCAGTGGTTAAACTGTAGACAGTGTCAGTGCTTAAACTTAGACAGTGTCAGTGGTTGAATTGTAGTCAGTTTCAGTCGTTAAACTGTAGACGGTGTCAGTGGTTAATCTGTAGACGGTGTCTGTGGTTAAAATGTAGACAGTGTCAATGGTTAAACTGTAGACGGTGTCAGTCGTTAAACTGTTGACAATGTGTGTGGTTAAACTGTAAACGGTGTCTGTTGTTAAACTGTAGACGGTGTCTGTGGTTAAACTGAAGACGGTGTCGTCAGTGGTTAAACTGTAGACAGTGTATGTGGTTAACCTGAAGAGGGTGTCAGTTGTTAAACTGTAGACGGTGTCAGTGGTTAAACTGTAGACGGTGTCAGTGGTTAAACTGTAGACGTTGTCTGTCGTTAAACTGAAGACGGTGTCAGCGGTGAAACTGTAGACAGTGTCTGTGGTTAAATTGTAGACAGTGTCAGTTGTTAAACTTTAGACAGTGTGAGCGCTTAAACTGTAGACAGTGTGAGTGCTTAAATTGTAGACGGTGTCAGTGGTTAAACTGTAGACGATGTCAGTGGTTAAACTGTAGACTGTGTCAGTGGTTAAACTGTAGACAGTGTCTGTGGTTAAACTGTGGACGGTATAAGTAGTTAAATTGTAGACGGTGTCTGTGGTTAAACTGTAGACGATGTCTGTGGTTAAACTGTAGACGGTGTCAGTGGTTAAACTGTAGACAGTGTCTGGCGTTAAACTGTAGACGGTGTCAGTGGTTAAACTGTAGACGGTGTATGTGGTTAAACCGTAGACGGAGTCTGTGGTTAAACTATAGACAGTGTGATTGGTTAAACTGTAGACAGAGTGAGTGGTTAAACTGTAGACAGTGTTAGTGGTTAAACTGCAGACAATGTCAGTGGTTAAATTGTAGACGGTGTCAGTGGTTAAACTGTAGCCGGTATCAGTGGTTAAACTGTAGACGGTGTCAGTGGTTAAACTGCAGACGGTGTCAGTGTTTAAACTGTAGACGGTGTCAGTGGTTACACTGTAGATGGTGTCTATGGTAAAATTGTAGACGGTGTCAGTGGTTAAACTGTAGACAGTGTCTTTGGTTAAACTGTAGACGATGTCAGTGGTAAAATTGTAGACGGTGTCTGTGGTTAAACTGTAGACGGTGTTAGTGGTTAAACTGTTAGCAGTGTCTGTGGTTAAACGGTAGACGGTGTCAGTGGTTAAATTGTAGACAGTGTCAGTGGTTAAACTGTAGACAGTGTGAGTGCTTACACTGTAGACAGTGTGAGTGCTTACACTGTAGACAGTGTGAGTCTTCAATCTGTAGACGGTGTCAGTGGTTAAACTGTAGACGGTGTTTGTCGTTAAACTGAAGACGGTGTCAGTGGTTAAACTGTAGACGGTGTCAGTGGTTAAACTGTAGACCTTGTCTGTGGTTAAACTGTAGAAGGTATCAGGGGTTAAATTGTAGTCGGTGTCTGTTGTTAAACTGTAGACGGTGTCTGTGGTTAAACTGAAGACGGTGTCGTCAGTGGTTAAACTGTAGACAGTGTGTGTGGTTAACCTGAAGACGGTGTCAGCTGTTAAACTGTAGACAGTGTCTGTTGTTAAACTGTAGACAAGTGTCTTTGGTTAAACTGTTGACGGTGTCAGTGCTTAAACTGTAGACGGTGTATGTGGTTAACCTGAAGACGGTGTCAGTTGTTAAACTGTAGACGGCGTCTGTGGTTAAACTGAAGACGGTGTCGTCAGTGGTTAAACTGTAGACAGTGTATGTGGTTAACCTGAAGACGGTGTCAGTTGTTAAATTGTAGACAGTGTCTGTCGTTAAACTGTTGACGGTGTCAGTGGTTAAACTGTAGACGGTGTCAGTGGTTAAACTGTAGAACGAACGAACGAACGAACTTTATTTTCAAAGGGTCAAAAATTGGGCACGCAGGTCCGTCTTACATTCGGCCCTTCCAGTCAACCATCTTTCGCACAGCAGTTGTATTTTACTAATAAAGCATGTTATGATCATATGATATGCATATTATGAATATTATAAAAGAACACAAAAGCATGAGTTGTAAAGTGCATGCAAAAACCCGCGCGTGCATACATACACCCGCATACACACGCTCACCCACTCACTTACACACACAAACATGCATGCATACATTACATACATACATACACAGATACATATAAACAAACATGCATACACACATACACACAGGCATACGTACACACAAACATACAGGCATACACACATACAGTCATAAATCCAGTCATGCATGGAGACACACACATGCACACACGGACACTCCCACAGAGACACAAACACTCAGACAAAAATACAGACACACACACGGACACTTACATATAAACACACACATTGAAACACACAGCACACATATTTAGATTCGTGCTCACACACTGACACACACACAACACATACGCAGACAAACATGCAGACAGATACATACAGCCACATAGACACACACGCAGTCAAACACACACACACACACACACACCAATACAGACAAACAGGCAGACAAACACATACTGACACCCACAGAGACAAACACGCAGAAATGCATATACATACAAACACATAGAAATACACACGCAGACACACATATTCAGCACGCACATACATATACTCTGACATGCAGACACATACAGACAACAAAGGGGCACACACAACACACACAGAGAAACACACATAGACATGCACAGACAGACAGACACATGCTGACACATACAGTCACGCAGACAGACATACAGACACCCACACACAGAGATACATACATACAGCCTCACAGACACACCTGCAGACAAAACACATAACATACACAGGCAAACATGAAGACAAACACATACGGGGACACACACAGGCACAAACGAAGATATACACACAGTCACATCAAATATGCAGAAAAAGAGACCAGTTCACACTGAAACATACACGTGGACATACGCGCGAACACACACACATTCGCACATACACAAGGACACAGACGCATACATTCGCAAACACACACACAGATACACAAGCAGACAAACAACATACTCAGAGTCATATATATACAAACACGCCTACACATACATACATATCAAGCACACGCGCGCGCGCAAACATACATATCATACACACCTTGTTTAATAATAAATTGATAATGCAATATGGGTTACATTACTTTCAAGGTGGCATGTAATCGCTTGTAAGTATGAATTGAAAAGTTTACGGTTGAATGAATAGGGACTTTTAGAATTTTTCAGGTCTAGTGGAAGTTGGTTCCACAAATGAGCAGCGGAGTACGCTAAACTTGTTTTATATAAATCTATTCTAGGTTTAGGTAAATTTAATAAATTTAGTCGCTTGCTATTTATAGGATTTGATTTAATTAATCGGAAAAGGTAGTTTGGAGTATTTTGAGATAAAATTTTATGAATAAATTTGGCCTTGTTGAAAATTAAACGTTTGCTAAATGGCAATAGTCTTAGATGTTTATAGAGATTATTTTTTTACGATATGTTTATTATCTGAAACCAGGCGTAATGCACGATTTTGAAGAGAACTTAGTCTTTTAACATTGGATTGGGCGCAACCATCCCAAACTGTGGAACAATAGTCGACATGTGTTTGGATATAAGACGCGAAAAATACTTTTCTTGCATCTTCGTCTAGAAAGTGCTGAATTTTTGCAAGCTGATAAACTTTTTGTGCTATTTTCTTAGTTATCACAGAAACATGAGAATTCCAGGTTAAATGGTTGTCAATTGTAAGGCCTAAAGTTTTGTGTTCCGTTACATTAGCAATAGGTAATTTATCAATGTAGAGCTCGAGTGTCGGCTTGTGCAGTACTAATGTTTGCAACTTTTGTATGGTTGTTATAAGCATAGACTTCGTTTTATTTATGTTAATTTGCATGCGATTGCTGTTGCTCCATTTACAAAGATTGTGTACTTCTTTCTGTAAAGATCTTTCCAACTCATTACGATTCTCATTACTAGTATATATTGTACAGTCGTCAGCAAATAAATCGCATGTTATACTAAGATGTAATGGAAGGTCATTAATATACGTGGAAAATAGTAGTGGACCTAGAATCGACCCCTGTAGCACGCCTATATTTAAATGAGTGGATTCTGACAGGCGGTTGTTGAAGGATACTACTTTATCAGATAAAAATGACCGCATTATTTCGACTAAATTATCGTTAGTTTTTAATATTTTTAATTTATTAATTAGAATATCATGATTAACCATATCGAAGGCTTTCTTAAAGTCTACAAAAACTGCACCGCAAATTTTGCCTTTGTTGATGTTAAAGTGCCAGTTGTCTGTCATTTTTGTCATCGCAGTATGGCAAGAGTGCATAGGCCTGAACCCTGATTGGCTATCAACTATCAGATTGTTGTTATTTAAATGCTGAAACGTTATTTTATGTATGTGTTTCTCCAATGGTTTGGATAGCGAGGACAGCAGAGAAATGGGTCTATAACTGCCAAGAGAACTGTTGTCAGCTGAGCCACGTTTGAGTAGAGGATACACTTTAGCAATTTTAAATGCTGATGGAAAGTAGTTCTTAGAAAGGCACTGATTATATATGAATGTTAGGGAGTCACTAATGACTGGTGCAGCACATCGAAGAATTCGATTACTGATTCCATCTAAGCCAGAGGAGTTTGTTTGCTAGACGGTGTCTGTGGTTAAACTGAAGACTAAAGAGTGGGAAGGATGAGAAGTTAAAGCTGGAACCGATGACGACTGCGATCTGCTGTCTGCCATTAAAAGTGCCCCTGTGGATATTGTGTAATGGTTGTGGTGTGCTTAAAATGTGGTTCATGCGCTGTATCCTGCAGCCGTAGACTAGTAACAGATGATAAATGATCAATATTATTGTATTCGGAATAGGAAATAAATGTGGCAACAGATTGTAAATAATATGAAATATATAACCCAACACTCAAAGTAAGAACTTTTAAATTTCTCTCTTTCTCTCTCTCTCTCACTCTCTGTGTGCGTGTCTGTGTGGTAGGGTGGGTTGGGGGTGGGGGTGGGGTGGGGGGGGAATTAAGCCCCTTGCAAATTGTGTAGAAGTTCTGGCAGCCCTAGTTGTAACCTCGCAATATCAGTTAAATTTAGAGTTTAAACAACTGATCATCATTATGGCACATGGGTGCTCCGTTTTTTCTTCTAACTCAAGTGTGAGTCCGAAGAAGCTCAGCACAGTGCACAGGCTCTGTAGCACCGGCGAGGATCCTGAAATACTTTTAGTAGATTTTAAAACTTCTAATTTTGTCCTGGCTACTCTTCGATTTCCAACTGCCAAGGGATTTCTTACATGCGCAACAATGCGCACGGGCGTCCGATCTCACTACCCAGAGACCAGGGGAAATACTTGAAGTCCAAGTCCCCGTGAAAAAAATCCCAGCCCTTAACAGTGATTGAACCCGGAATCACTAGCATTTGAGGCGGACACCGTGCCTCGAGACCACGCAGCTCTCTCATTGTCAACGAATCGAAGGCAAGCTCATTCATTCCAAGGTACGAACTTCTGACTGCAAATATTGACGACGTTTCAATAGTTATCCCCCTTTGGTTCTTTGGTAATTTGCTTGCAGCAAGAAAACCTGAAACGGGCAGTTGAAAAAGCTCCTAACGTTGCAGAATTGAATCGCATACTTTCACTCTTAATGGTGATTTCACAATGTTAATATATTAATATAGACGCTCGCCAGCTAATAGGACAGCCGTGGCTTCGGTTCCTGACGGTGGTCGGACTTTTTTCAAAAGTGACCTTGGCTCCTAGGTGGACCCTGTCTTAAGTAGGTACCAGGTACAATCGTGGGAAGTAAAGACGGTCGGTGTGACGC